CCAGAACGAATTCGCTCAAGTTCTAAATTACGAAATCCACATCAAACAGATTAAATGCATATAAATTATAAATGTTAAATGGTTCAATAAAAGCGAGATGGAAATTTTATTCGAACGTGGGATAATACGACGTGATCTTATCCCTTGATTAAATTTCATGTTTCAGAAGGATCTAACAATTTCTGTATAGTCGAACGGCCACCATGAAAGACGATTAACCGGGGCGCATTACTTTTTGATTGTTCCAGGGCAGCTGTTCCATCGGAGCGTTCTAATGTCTGGCAGCGCGCTTTCTCCGTGGGCGCTGGTGAGAGGAGCCGCAAATTACGCTCTGCAAGTTGCCAAACATCTAAATTGCTCGTGGGTGAGTACTGGTACGGAGTGCATTACATTAAGGTCTCCGGTTCGACGACAACTCCGAAGCAAATAAACCGCCAGACATTCCCCGCGAGGGAAACAAATTCTCCAGCTCCTCTCTCTCTCTCTCTCTCTCTCTCTCTCTCTCTCTCTCTCTCTCANCTACAAAAAAGGTTATATGCAATTTTCCCGTATCTCCAATGGTTTAGGAGTTATTGAGGAAAAACGAAATTTTTTGCCAAAAGTTGGCTATTTCGACGGTGGAATGGTCGGATTTTATGAGTACCCATAAAATGCCAATTAATCATACTTAACTCATTAAATATCGAAGTTAGAAGAAAAGTTCATAAAATATTACTCGTAGAAGACGTCAGTGCCTACAACTTCCGTATAAAATGTAATCTCAATACACTGAACAGAAATTGGGACAATTGAATATAATTATAATGATCAGACAATAATGAACGTTGAACCAGCCATAATTTATTTAAAACACATCCCTAGAAATGTTTTATTCATTCGGCGATGTGTTCTAAGACTCGTGGACTAACGTTTCGAAGTGGCTTCGTTTCCTTTGAAGATCCGGTGCCTCGCATCACGGCTTTTCCCTCTGTACTCGTTCGTTTAGATGCGTTTAAGGCAGATCAAGACAGTACGTGCTGCGTAGATATGCAGGACGACCTGGATTCAAATAGTCTGGGTCAAGAACGGCCGATTCTTGCGATGCTCGATCTCGGAAGCTGTCCGGAGTACCCTTTTATCCTCTATTGCGTTCGCCGGAAACGCGATGCTTTCAAAGAATATTTTCACAGTATTTTAGAGGCGAGCCAACGAGGACGAACGGTCTAACGCCGTCGTCTCTTAAAGCTTCTGTTATCACGAGGGTTCCTTGCAATCACAGCTACCAACGCCACTGATGCTTTATTCAAATCATACCAAAAATAGGTATAGAAAAATGGTGATTTCTCGAACCGAGGCATAGTAATTAAAAATAATTATCTTATTGTTTCTTCAGCAAGTTTTACATGCGTTTCGTTATGTAATATGGTCGTAAGAAAATGAAGAGGCAAAAATTTAATTATATTAATTTAATTATATTTCATACCCAAAATGGTAAGCCAAAAAAAAATGTACAAACAGTAGTGAAATAATTTGAATCTGCAATATGGCATGTCCCGTGATTAATTACATGAATGGTAATTCAGTTTCATATAACCGACGGTGAGCCCGTCGATCCGAATTAACGTTGATTACACGGAGGTTAAGATAATTAAATCGCGGTTCGATAACGAACCTTGCCAAACGTGTGAACGCGTCCCGTTTTGATTACAGGCTTTCTAAACGCCAACACGGATTCGCACTTACGCTCGCCGGCGAACTACGGCCTGATGGATCAGATCGCGGCGCTGCACTGGGTGCAGGAGAACATCGGCTACTTCAGCGGCGATCCGGGGAACGTGACGCTGATAGGTCACGGGACCGGGGCCGCCTGCGTTAACTTCCTGATGACCAGCCGTGCCGTGCCCGATGGTGAGAACNAATGACGTCTGCGCAAAATGATTGGCCGATTCTTAGAAGGCTCGGCTCCTGATTTGCATATTCGTTTACTCCCGCATTTATCGATAATCGGGCAAGATTTTTTGGGTCATTCCAAAGGGAATGACCAGATGACCAATCCTAGGGGGTGGGTACTTAAAGTCAGTGGTCAACTGGTCATTCCCTTTGGAATTATCCCTTAAGAATCTCTGTATTTGTATATTAAATTATGTATCATTAACTTAATGTATGCGCTAATAAATATTGCGATAAGGAAAGTATCTGATTTACTTTGGATTAACAAATAAATGGCTAACAAAGTCATTCGTCTTTTATTTTTGTATCAACGTTCTGTCACGTTCTGAGTGAACGGAATAAACTAATACCTTCTCTCGATCGATTTCAATGAAGGATGTAATCCAACACCCGAAGGTTGCATAGCCATTCAGGATTTCGCACACTCGCCATTTCTGTTTCAATTTATTTTCGAAACGTGTAAAGAGCTCCTCATAAAAGTGTAAATCCCGGGACGCGTATTCCATCAAGATGCTTTCAATCTTGCAGAAGCAAGGTAAACATCGCGAGGTTCAATCCCGTGCAGCGATGCCCGTAAAAAGACGAGATCGTGTTTGGCGAGTGTTCAGCGGTCGCGATTGAGGGCGTATGAAATTCGATTTGAATATTAGAACCGGAATGAAGACGACACGCGGATCGGAGGATATTACGCGTATGTACATAGGAGTCGCGTCTCTTTAATCGACTGGCAGGGGTAGTTCACCCCTCGCGTCGGGGGTCAGGGTATTTTATTTCTGTCGTGCGCTCGGTCCTTGGAATAATTAACGTCCGGTCACGCTAACCCTTTTAACGTATAGAAATAACCGGCGGAATATTCGAGATTAAAGCGTTGGATGTAAACGAGGGGTGAATAGGCCACGGACCTGTGTCCATAAAAAAAAAAAAAAAAACTGTTAGACGCCGGTGTCGTTCCGACCCTGGCGTTGCTCGGATTCATCCACAAAGAGGGCTGCTCTTTCGACCGTCGAGACACTTTGTGTCTGCCACGAAAACCTCGCCTTGGGCAACATTCTTTTATCGGCTTTCACCCTTTCGCGCGACGGAACGTAGTTAAGTGTGAAAGATCGTGATTATGCACGCTGAATCAATAACGTTTACAACAATTTATCATTTATTGTATAGCAATTTATTAAATAAAAGTATTCTTGTATTTTACAATGAAAATAAAATTAATAATTCAAGTGACGAAGCAAAAATAAAAATCGTTTCTTAGATCTCTTTGGTCTCTTTCTCTCTCTTTCTCGAGGGTCGCGTGAGCACGGAAGACGGATCGATGTGAAAAAAAACAACGACGCAATCTGGGCAGGGGTCCCAGCTTATCGTTAACCCCTGCCGAAACGATAATTCACTACAGCTGGAAACTGTCAATGAGGGTTAGGCCGGCTGATTCCACCGTAATTTATCGGTTCGTCGTAAACCACCCCTGCGACTTCGCGCGGTGACTACGAATGGGATTGACTTTAATATGCGCATATGAACACGGGCCCGGCCGGATGCTCCACGGAAAATTGGATGGCGCGGCCGATTCGCGCCCGGCAAGAAAGTTAGATTGTGAGTTGCGATTATAGCCGGCTATAACAATTTTTTCTCACAGATTTTTAACGCCCCGATGCCAATTTAATTAAGGGCCATATAGATTCGGATAAATGATTATCAGAACTGTTTTTTATAATTCTGTAGTTGTAATTAGCAGTTAAGATTGGAATTCAGATGTCGCAGGAGTGAATATATGAAAGTAAAGGTGATCGAAATTCTAAGTGGCTGCCTGAATGAATTATATTTGACACTACAACCACGAAACCAGTCAAAATTATTAGTTTTTAATTNTTAACTACAAGTATTCCTACAATATTATAATAAATATAAATTTTCGTCGATCACAATAATTATTAGAATTATTTTAATCAATTCCGAAACGAGATTCATCGCCGTTTGAACGATCGTTATCTTGGAATGAACCTTTTTCGGATTCAGACAGGATTCAGGGCGTGAAAAGAGAAGGATGGGATAGGTAACAACAAGCTTTAACGCGGTCCGTGTCACGTCGCGGGTAAAAGTCGGGCGGTTCGTCATCGAGCGAGGGAACACGCGCGTCGAGAGGCATTACGAGTAGGGTAGACTCGTTTAATGAGTCCGCGGCCGGCAAATGCCACGCAACACCGCCATTTGTGACGTAAAATGCGCCGCGTAATTTGCGTTGATGGCATCGGCACACCGTCGTCGATGAATAACGGCAATTCCGTCCAGGAGGATCGTTTTAATGGAAAAAAAACGAGCCCTACTATACGTTGTATTTATTTCCTTTTTACCGGGAATTTTGTTCGTGCTTGCTTTTACTCATATATCTCTTGCCTAATGGATATCCTTGATAAAAGTATGCACGAAAGTATTTTTAATTAATATTATTGGAAAAAAGTAATTTTAATTAACGTTTTATTTTATTGTAGAAAAATTATAACATTTCCGCTTTTTCCGTTCTAATTATAAAACGAGATGGGATATTCGTAAAGGATATCCTTGATAAGAGAGTCTTTAATCGACGCTGAGTTATATTTTCACGACTTCGGATTTGTACATGAAATAAAATATTTTTAAACAATAAATTAGAAGAATTTTTGTTTGCTCATTAATCGTCTGTAGTCTAGTTATGAATTTCTGCCGTTAACCGTATGATTGATCGCTATAATTAATTGAACGTGTTATCACACGTGTAAAGAGGGGTTGGCAGGCATTTTCTAATTATACAGTCTCGAAGCGTGCCGCGTTTATGGCTACCGTAAACGGATTTTATAACGTTTCACGTGATTTATATGAACGGCCGTGTAATCTTAACGCGGCGAAGTGTTACTTGAAAAAAGTTTCCCGCGATTCCGGTAAATCAATCGTACCCACCGGCCGACAACTCATGGCTGCACACTTCAGTGATTTCAAGAAAAATGATCCCGCGACACGCCACGTTAATATTAGATTCGCTTCCATTGTGTTCACCGAGAAGAAAAATGAAATTTAATTCCAACATTCGAAATTAGGGTAATCACTGTACTAAGAAATATGAGCCTGAAATTTTATTTATTCGTCGAATTAATTTATGTGATTCTCTTAACGATTATTGAAACGCCAAGTTCCAAGTGTCAGAAATTCGCCACAGACGATCGATTCGAAATCGGATTTGCAGCTTCTTTAACCGACTCGACGGGATCTAATCCTAAGAGTTTAATCCGTGCAGACTGGCAGACAATGTTCGCGGTCGGAAACTCTCTATCAGTCGGCAGACCAAACAGAATCGCTATCAGCTACAATCCGGCGAGGAGGTGACCGACCCTTGCATAAATACTCGACCCTCGTCTGGAAATGCGCCGATATGCTTGGTCACGAATCTCTTCAATAAATCACGAGACTAAATAAGATCTTGTTATTATATTTACTGAAGTCTAAACACGTCCAAGTTAGAAATAACTAAATATTATCGAAGATGTACTTGAACGGCGCCCGGCACGAAAACTAATTGCAAACTGTAATAT